CCTAATGATGATACACTAGTTGCTCAGACTTCACAAAGCACATGCAAGTATATTTAAGCTTAGCTGTACAACGGAATTTGTTTCTATTCATTAAATATATATAAGGACACATGAACACACTTAAATCAGCAAGTGAACCTACCCACCTAAAAAAGTAAAAAACATGACACAGTCCTAGAACTGATTTGGCTTTTCCCCAGTGGTAAGAAATTTTTCCCTATATGATATGATGCTTAATTTATCTCACACACACTCACTATTAAGTTCAAAGAAGGTTTTGCATAGAAACTCCTATAACCTTTTCAGGTTTTGCATCCTTAAACCAACTGTTGCTATGCGGGGTTATCTTTTGGGTTACAGACTGACAGTTTCCTGTGCTGTTGGCACTACAGATCTTGTATGCAGCTCCAGCATGCAGTACGGAGCATCTTATCTAGACCTTGCCTGTCTACCGTAATTCATGCAACTGAGTCCATGGGCTTGGAGCAAACAAGCAAAGCTTATGCATATACTTAAAATAAAGCATGATCTTAAGTACTCTACTTAAGTCAGGGCCTTTTTCAGGAATGATAAATGTGAAAAACATTGAAAAGGAAGGCAATTCCTTGTGGATTGAAGACATAAGAAAACACTTCTTCAACTTTGGGCAAAGTATTTGCATACACTACAGTGGCTTTTGGATTGTGAGGATTAATACTTTTCTAATGCATATTGTTGGTCAAAAAAGCAAATGCATGGGAACATGACTTTAAGATAAATACAACTGGTGATCTTACAAAGGTAATTGATTTGTAATTAATTCCTATTTCTGAGCCCAGCTTTCAAAATAATGTCTGCGCTGAACCTTACTTACAAACTTTACAACAGAATTGAACTATGATTTTGTGAAGACACCATTTTACCTTCTGTAAGTGGCAGCATAATTAAAGCCCTGACAAACACATAAATCCATAATGGTGCAAAAAGATGAATTCTGTAGTAAGATACACATGATTTCAAAACAACATATGAAAAGACTATGGACATTCAGTGGATATGACAAATCCCATCAGCGTAGCTAAGGCAAATTATTACTAACAGCCCATTTACTCCTACCACCAACTGCTAATTCAGCTGAAGACCACAGTTGGAGGTATCAGGGTGACAAATTCAAGTCAGACATCTTAGTGGAGCTGGGAATCTGGACTCAGATCATCTGATAAGTAAAACAGCAAGTACGTACGTGCCAACAGAGTGAGGCATTCCAACAGAATCTAGTGCGTCTCGGGGCCATCCATATGCTTCACCATATGTCCGTGAGAAGAGGGGTCCAGAATCACTCTCTGAAAAGGGCTGGCTCTCAAGATACCAGCCAGAATCCCAATTTTGCTGTATTAATTGGTGTGTAAGCACCTGTATTCCCTCCAACAGACTACTGATTTTAGCTCAGAGGGAAAATACGGAACACAACCATTTGCTGATTCAGAACCTGAGTCCCACAGGGCAAGTTCTAGTAGGGAAGAAAAGACTGCTCTGGGCTGCACTTCTTCAGAGCCAATTCAACCTCTGTGTATTAACCACAAAGAAGCCACACAGAGATGTTACTATATAAAACAGCAATACGGAGGAGCACCTGGACAGCTTGCTTTATTTTGCCTTCTATTCTGTTCTTCACTTACATTTTTCTGGGGGTGACTAGCTGCAGTGTATTTTCACATTTCAGTCCTACCTTATCGCTGTCCACTGTGTTCTGTGACGTCCTGGATGCAATGGAAATGGTGTCAGGTTGACTGCTGCCATCTCCTTGGCTGTCTGCATCGTCTACTCCATCTCTGCAAAAGACATAATAGGGAAACAATGATGCTTACTTAACACACCACCTTGGAATGTGCACAACTTTATAGGTGGATTTGAGAAGTGCCGAGTCAGTGTGCCAGAGCCGGCTTTGTGCTAAAATTACCTCACCGATGCAGCTCATGTTGCTACGTAGCTTGCAATTTAAAATTATGTCAACCTCAGACATAGGGTTTGGATTAGCACATAATAACAACTTTAGTTGCTGAAAACAGGATGGCCATTGCCTGCATGTTTACAGCAAAGACAACTCTTGTGTTCATAAATAGCTCTGTAATGAGGGTGTCAAGCAAAAATTTTCCTTCAATTAGATTTCTGCCTTAACCAAAACTATTCAGCCCAGGCTATAGATGGCACTGAAGGAAGGGATATTTCTCTAGTCTCACAGGAACATTCTCAGGAATTTAATACTAAGTCATAAAAATTATATCCAAACAAACATAAATAAAGACAATATAGAGTTCTACAAGTCTAACCCTATGAGTCTGCTATCAGAGGGCATTTTCTTCCTTTTTGCTGTATAGATACAGTCCTCCTAAATTTTTACTGGTCTTTTAAAAATAAACTTTTAAATAATATAAAATACGTATTTAAGGAAAAGAAAAAGTAAATAAGATCTCCATTCTGTACTAGAAAACTCTTGTATTGGTGCATGTCTCCAGGAAGAAATGTTTGGATCTCTGCCTTGCTACAGGTGTTCTCGGTGACCTTGGTTGCTCATGCTTTGGATGCCTCTATAATATGCAAGAGTGATAAAACTTGATGAGGAAATTGAGATTATCAAATTACAGGTGGGAATACCGGCATAACAGCAAAAGAACAATTAATTTTCTGCAATTCCTATTTAATTCAGGATTCAAAGAAGTTGACAAAAAAAATTAATATTAACTCACAGGCTGAAATGAGTTTGTATTTAATGATGAAACATCAACTCTCCTCTGCAATAATACATTGTCATGACCAGCTGTGATTTTCATTGTCAAACAGTTCAAAATGCCAAACAGGGAGAAAACCAAAATCTCTTAACACTCATATATAAAGAAGTAAATTCTACTTTGGGAAAGAAACATAACCTTGGACCCTGAGGAATTTTTATTATTTATGTCTCTCTAACACATTGAATGAGTAAATTAAAACACCTTTGTATGTATATCATAGAAAAACTTTCTAGCTACTTTTGCCAAGACAACATATAAAAAGCAAACATGATGAAAACTGCTTTTAACTATAGTAAGAAAAAGTGAATACAATAAGAAGCCCACAGACACTACATTGATGTCGGTCAAGAAAAAACTCGTGATTTCATGTGGTATGGAATGACTGAGATTACCTTCTACTGTTGTTCCGCTGCTTTGCTGGTGTCTTGGGGAGCTGAATTGGCTCTTTCAGAGCTCCTTTCAGATGGATAATCCTTTCTTGAATGACTTCCCGGATATTTTTGATCCATTCTTGTTTTGTTTCAATACTGGATGCCTAAAATTCCACAAGACAGAAAAACGGAGACTTTATAATATTCCAAGGATGTCACCTCCTATGTAGAAGAATCATGGCTGGCTGTTGAAAATGCACGGTTAACTGCTTCTCCTCTCTGCTGCATAGTTTTAGCTGCTGAAGTACCTGGCAACCCCTTGAGAATTGAAGGTATTTTTACCAGACCTACTTGGCAAGCAGCAGCAAAGCACCTAAGCTCTGGATAAATATATTTAATACCAGCAATACAGCATACTCTGCAGAGGGGAAATAGGTTATCAGACAACATAACTATAACACACTCTTTGTTAGAAACTCACTTGACAGAAATGGCTGTCAGCTCTGGAGGTTTGACCTTCGATAAGCCTAGTGGCAAAGGACTAATACAATTATACCTCCCAGACAGACACCCTGAGACATGCCCTGTGTCAGTGTGCAGCTGCTCAACCCAGGCTGCAAGAAGAATGTAATTTCAGCAAGGCTGCACAACTGCCCTATCTTGATTCATACTGAGGCCTTAGAGCTGAATTGCTCCTGATGCAGGCATGACCCTGCTGACACACACGGAAGCTATGTGAATATGATGAGGGAAGAAACTGACATTTAATTTAGTGCTCCCAGGGCCTCAACTAGAAGCTCTACAGTCAAAGAAAACAAGCAGAAAAGACTTACTTTCAGCACTGTTTTATTGTCTGAGGATGGTGTTCGTCCAGACCACAAAGCAAATTTACAGGGATCTCCTTCAACATGTTCAGTCACCCCCAGTTCTGAGGTCTAGTGTGGAGGAGAGATAATAAGAGATTGCATGTATATGAAGTCTCATGATTCTAGAAAACTTTACATTTGTAGTGAGAAGTGGAGAGGCAGAGATGGATAGGGGAGTGAGATCTTGCCTCTAATTCCTACACACAGATAAAAGAACCAGAAAACTGCCAGGGGATGGCAGGGAAGTGAATGGCTTGAGTGATCATCCTTGTCTTTCCCACCAACCCTTCACATCTCACTGCCTTAAATCTCTCCAGACTCACTGTGAGCTTAGCTTCCAGGTGAGCCCCACAGGGTCCAGAGCCAGCCCTTCCAGGTGGCATGAGTATCCCCAACCCAGCATGGGGACATATGAGCCATCCCCAAACTCCACCTCTACCTACAAGAAACACAACACCCAGAACATTTTCTTTGCAGCCACACCTACCAGTAACTTGTTCTTGTAAACATATTTTGTGTGTCCTGAAGAATCTTTAATCTCTTTGCTAAACACCAAAGAGATTTCAAAGAGAAACAAATGCCTCTCACGGCCTTTCCGAATGAGAGACTTGGGATCCCATACTTGGAAGGAATCCTGAAGAATCAGCTCTCCCTGGACATCCAGGTTCTCATCAAACCCTAAAACCACAAAATACATTAGCTTGTATTTGTTCTTGGGACCAGTAATGCCCAGAAACATCAGAGCAGTAAGGACTTGAAATAAAAGGGTCTTTCTCTCTTTTTTTTAATGCATATTCTGAAAGGATATTAATGGTCATCCACTGCCCCAGTGAAAATATTTTTCTTCTTTTTCCTACTGCAATGATGTAATTGTTTCACCAGAGGCAAATACGTCACATGTGCTAGATGAGACTGCTGCTAAAATGTAGTAGTAACTACTTAAAGATAAATATTATAAGGATTTCAGTGCTGGTTACAGTACACAGAACTGCAAAGCAAGAGATCTTGTGCATGTTAATACAAATACAGAGAAATGCAACACGCAGTGGCTGGAAGTGCCCCATCATACCATGATGCCTTCAAGCATGCTAACCCAAACTTTAGGGGGCTGTGAGTCCACAGCAGTGGTGTGGGGGAGCTACATCTGAGAGTAAATTGGTATGGTGTCTGAAACAAGCTTTCCAGAAGGAGTTACTCATTCTCCAAGCTGCATGTCAAAAACCTTCACATGGCTGAGGATCACAGGACACCCTCCAAATAACTGGGATGCTTGAGGGAAAAGGAAGTCCCTAGTGCAAGGTGCCCTCCACAGGCTGTTGTCTCAGCTGTGGGGTCACACTTCTCTCCAGTGCTGGACACTGCTCTTTCACCAGCACAGCCCACTGCTCTTCATGCCAAACAGCTCTGGTCCCTGCTCCAAATATTCAGGAATAATGTTTTATTCAGAGGACAACTGTACAAGTGCTTGTCTACCCTAACAAAGTCATCCCTGCTTCTTTATTATTGCATGGTGCTGGTCTTCTCATGTGGACAGATTATCTAGGCATTACTTTGGGAAACCTGGCTCTTCACCAGACACCACAGTTAAAACCATCTTTATAGTGTTCCTACCTATGCTGGGTCAGTTTACCCCCTGCAATTTTAACTACTTGGTCTTAACGTGCTGCTTAGCTACTGGCACCATTTCTTTTTTCTTGCCTGTTTTAATATTCTGCTTCTTTCCTGGTTCTGACTCAAGCCAGGATGGAAATGATTTTCCCAGGCCAAGAAAATGTTTGCGAGGCAATAAAGCATCTCTGTCCGTAATAAAATTTTTAAATTTTAGAAATACTCCACACATCAAAAAGCCAATAAAAGACTTAATTTTGAGGCAATCAAAATATTTTTCTATCATTTTGAAATACTTTTCAATACTTTTTTTTTAATAAATCTTTGGAATAATTATACCAATATTTTGAAACACCAGTTGTTTTGACTCAGAAAACCAGAACTTTTCCCTTTGAAATATTGAGACAGTATTTAGAAATGTTTTCATCCAATAACCATTATGGCTGCCAGGAGCTAAACTGATACTGTTTCAGGAGGAGGATTTTTGTTTCATTAAGTAAGAATGTTTTAACCAAATATGTATATACATTATACGTATGCATACATATACACACCTGTATGTATATATCTATACACACATATAAATATATATATACAGGCACATAAGATATAAGTAAACAAATGCCCAAGATTTCCTAGACAGCTTTATTCTTCCAAGACTTTTGAAGAAATACCAGAAACGAGCTAGGAAGCACCTGAGAATTACGATCAATCACCAGTATTGCTACAGTCAGCCTGTACTAACTTTCTACACAAGTTACAAGGAGGCTTCATTTATCAGTGGTCCCTCCCCTGCCCTGGCCACCTGCCCATCTGCTACCTTCCAGCATGCTGACATGCATTGCGTCGTTGGCCTTCTTTGGGACACTGAGCATCACCTCCAGACCATCTTTGAGTTCCCCTTTGCCCTCCTCACAGCAGGTCAGCAGTTCCTAAGAAGCAATGCAGAACACTGATAAACAAACTCTGATCAACATACTGGCTTGATATCTGAATGTGTTACTTGGTACATGTAACTACTTTGCTAACAGTGACTGGAGAAAGCTGAACTGCATCAAAACCCACTGTGGATGCTCAGAGATTGTAGGAATCAAATGAGAATGACTGTAAAAGGTGCTGTCAAGTGACACTGTGCACTCAGATTCCCGGGGACCTGCAGCCTATGCTGCAGTCATCAGTCAGTCTAGCTGTGCGAGCCAGGTTGCAGGACCCCTGCCTGATCCTTCAGTGCTCATGAGTACTGTAGGGCTGGCAAGTGTGCTGTGGCCAGGGCAGGGAGATCCCTTCAGGAATGATTTGCCTGAGGAAGAAACCAAAGGGGTGATGACTGAAGGGGTGGTTTAGCATCTCCATTATCAGATGATTTGTGCAGTGCAGGCTTGCTGTCCCACAGTGCTCACTAGACTATGATAAACCTGTGTGCTGTTTCACTAAACTGGTACAAAGCACAAATTTGTCAACACATTAAATGTAGTCAGGAAGTACCTTCCTAGTACAATACATCAGTCCTTTGGTGTATACACAGGAAACATCCTATCTCGTACTAGCTTTTCAAAGTCAGATTCTGTCTCTTCCCTTAACACCCAGATGTTTTTTCTTCTAAGTTACATCTAAAATTCACCTAGTCACAAGATATTGCAAAAACCTGTAACCAATTTACAACAAACCAACAAAGGTGGTTTTTTTTTTATTTTTTTTGTTAATGGGAAATGTTAATGTTTCACTTAGAAGTCCTTGCTTTGTATATGAAGCTTTTCCCTGTTTTTCAAATGTGAGCATGTTAGTTCCCAAATAGAATCTAATGCCAGTGAAGCAGTTTGGGTCAAGAGTCAGTGAAATTTCCCAAAGTTCATTACTGTTGCCACTGAAGCCTTTAATCAAAATATTACATGTCACAAACTTTAGCAAGAAAGAACGTAAACAGTCCTGTCATCCCTTCAAATGTCCCTTTCCCAGTTCTCACTTTTTAGGTTTGAATCCACTTGGATAAAAAAAACCAAAAAAACCTGAACCCAACCCCCCCCACAAACAAAGAGTTGTAACAGGTGATCAGTTTTTTGCTGTTTGTATTTTTCTTTCTGTGAGACTTTTCCTTTAAAATAACCAAACACCCAACCTGATTTCACACATTGTTGCCACGCTCAGGCCTGGGAAGTAGGAGCACCAGCTCAGCAGCAGCTGCTTACAGGTCATGAACAGGTAATGAAACAGCTCCCTTAAGAATAGGTTAATTCATTACACCCACGAACTGCTCTGCATGTTCATGAACTGATTTGGGGAGCTCACTATGGTACCTTCAGTAGGAGCTGATATTTTGTGATCCTCTGGACAGGCTTGATTAAGTAAGAAGAGATAGAGTTGGCCAGACCATGTCTTTGCTGAATTTCCTAGAAGAGATAAAAACAGTAGTCAGTCATGGAAAACTATTAAACTGCTGCCAGACAGAACCACCCATAACTAAGTTTAGCTCTGGATCTCTGGCTTTCTTTGTTTAGTTTTTTAACTGTCTTTAAGCTCACATGCAAATAACCATGGTTTCAGAGAGGCTGGCAATAAACTGCAGAGTTCCCCTAAGGCTGCTTAAACTGCAGGGACTTTGTGCAAGTCAAGCTAAGGCTACGTTGAGTAAACTACACAGGCTTCAATTTAAATACGACTTATCTTTCATGTCAACCGGTTTCTCTTAGCTATGAAGGCTGAAAGCAGAGTCTTAACATCCAATTAAAATGGAGTGACATTAAATTAAATTGCATGCGTAGAGCGTAATTTAGCTGTCTAAACTTCAGCATCTAGTGCCATTTGAAAGCCCTGGGGATAGCTGAAATATCCACATGCGAGTAACAGGTCTGACATGGTGATGACAGACCTATGGTATTCAGAGGTAGCACCTGGGGGCCAGGAGAGATACCCTTATGACATCTTTTACAGCACTGAATGCTTCTGTTTTGTCACCTGAATTTCAACCTAAATGTCTGTGCTGATCACACATTTTGTGTGATGTGTTCACGTGTGAACTTCTGGAGACAGTGCAGATAGGCACCTGGTTAGGTCTGCAAAGTGCCCAGCTGCTTCTCTCCAGCTGGTTCCAGTGGGAGTTAGGAGCTCCTGATAATCTTACAGGGCGCTAAACCACATAATTAGCCTTCTAAAAGGCTTCAAACTTATGCCCTACAGTGGTAGATTCTGTACTGAAATAGAACAGGTTGGAATTCCTTCTGTCTCCACAAAGGCATGCCTCCCCTTGCTCCTGAACATCAGGAAATCCTTGGTTCCTACAGGAGCAGATGGGGAAGAGAATGGGACCTATCTCCAGCTACTGGAGGGTAAATTTGGAGCTGTAAAGAAGTCACAGAAGATGAAGGTGGAAGAGCTGCCAAGAATGGAGATTCTTTTTTTGTATACAGTCTGATTTTCTGCTGAGTACTGGGGAGGTTACCAGGTTTTTTTAGGTCCAGTGTTTATGCTTGGATATAAAAATAGCCACTTTTCACACAACGTGCCAACAGATATATATTTTTTTGTACTAGGTAAGTTTGTCTTAGAAAAAAATATCACTGGTGCCACGAACAAGACCCAGAGAGAAGGGGCTCTGTGTGCAGATTAATGGAATTTGCATGAAGCTGAGCCACGGCTGGTGCCAAACAGGGACACTGCCTGCAGAGCATAGCTTGGAAGTCTACTAGTAACTGCAGGAGCCAGCAAGACCTCGGCCATGTCCGTGAGCTTCCTGGAGCTAAGTACAATTGTTTTTGCAGGATCCAAATAATGAATTTAGCTTTACTCCTTCCTCCCAGCTCTCTGAACAGCAGGACATGCTCCCAGCAAAATGTCACCCCTTCAGGCATTCCTTGCTCTGCTAGGATGCTCCCTGGTCATACCGTGCAGAGACAGAGTGGGTTGGTGGAGTGACATTTGTCCCTGATGCATAGGAACCCGCAGCAGTAAGGCAATAGCACTGTTAGATGGCAAACGGACAAGTACATTGCTGGAAAGGGACATTCTCCCTGCAGCTTCTCCCTCTGGTCCCTCAAGTGTTGGAGTAAGATGGCAACTTGCTGGAGTGTGTCTTGAGTTGGTTTGTAACAACTGGAGATGTCTGGATGTAATGTGGGTCTGTGCAGGGCAGAGCACAGTAGTGCAGACATTTCTCACACGCCTCTAAGTAACCTGAAGTGCAGATATATCTGAGTTATCTTTGAAGCAGCTGGCAGGTTTAAGAAGCAAGCTAGCCACAGGGCTCTGTGCTTTCTACTTTGCCCTGCTTCTTGTTTAAAGCAAGCTTGGTTCACATTATAGTTGCACCATGGCTCACCATCAGACACAAGTTATTTCCTGGGTGGAAAAGTGCCCCAGGGGCCTGGAAGAAATGAAGATATCTGACAAGGCAAGAGGTGCTGGCAGTTGTGCATTGCAAACTCTATGAGCTGCAGCACAGGATCAATGTGTAATCTTACATGCAATGACAGAATCCCAAACTCCAAGAATGTCCTCTGCATAGGACCCTCAGAGGCCCTTGAATGGACAAGATGGAAACAGGAACACTTGAATACAATTTCATACCATAGGAATTGCTGAATTTACCATGAAGCAATGATAAAGTGCCCAGATTTTGTATAAAATGTCTAAAGAGATTCACAAATTAAGGTAAGTCATCTAATGATGTACAGTTGTTTCGTAGGAGGACAAACTGCATCCTGAACTGGGTATACAAACTAACGGCTTGCTGAGTAATCTGATTCAGTGCTAAAGCTCTCACAAAACATTCAGGTTTTGTAATGCACGACACAAATGGTTGGTGAGCAATTTCAGAAAAAAATATTTCTGCTTGTGCCTCTGCCTATTTCCTAAGGGACACTCCAGCTCAGGGGAGAAACTGTCCAACAACCATCATCCATGCAGAAAGACAATACTCTGCAATGCTACAAAAGTCAATGAGCTTTTACCATGTTCCATGCTGGTCGTGCAAGTTAAAGGTGCCCTGAGGCTTCTTGAATGTAACAACTGATCTTTTCCAAGATTTAAAGAAAAAAATACTCAAAATAGAAGCAGTATGCAGATGACTGAAACAAACTCTAGTTTTGTCCTGAGAACAAAAGCTCATTTAAATAACAGACAATAAAATCAACATGATCACTGCAATAATATGCTGATTTCCACCAGCTGAAGCTGAGGCCCAGCACATGTTGGTAATCAAATATACATCTTGCTAGCCTGAAGTATATGGTATTACAAATGTTAAAGATTGCTAAACATGGTAGGCATCATATATCTTTGAAACAGTAATACTCTCAAATGCTGAACAAGAAAGATACAAAAAGTGAAAGAACTAAATTTGTAAGTCTACTGCAGTCATATAAGAGTAAGCATACTAGTTCCATCCCCTATGCAAATTCCAGCTATTATAACCATACCAATAACTTAAGAATTTTATAAAAAATGCAAGATTTGCAGGGAGGGAAGATAATACCCTTTATCCTTTATTACACTAAAGCTATAGGATAAATTAGGGAAGTTTTATAATTGAGAGTTTGTGCATAATTTTCTGTCTGTATTAACTGGTCTAAGAAGAGAAACTGCTTTTCTTTACATATATGGCTTTACTTACATCCTTAGAACATCCCAGCTATGACAGCATTGTTACTAATTCTCTTCAGTTTCGTACAATATATGTCACTTATTTTTTGCTCCTTCTCCTACTTATCTAACCTTTACAATAAGCTCTGAAGCTACAAACTTTTCATAGACTTGAACAGTTCAAACAGATTACTGGGACTTGGGACTGCTTGTTTTCATCCCAAAGATGGCTTTCTATGGTTTATACAATTTGAGGAGTTGTAAACTTGTGATCTTCAGACAGGTTTCTTATGAAGGGGTGTTATTCTAGATAACTCTCACCATTAGGGTATCGTGGGAAATTCCAGGTTCTGCCTGGAAAAGAACCTGTATTCCTTGGGCCAGACTGTTCCCTGTCCTACCACTGGACCACTGCCAGTCCAAGATCAAGATAAGAAGGATCTACAGGTACTTTGCACCACCTTAGAGGATTTCATTTTTTTTTTTGGAGGGGGTGATCTCCAGCTTTCTTTTTGCACAGTCTTCACTTGATAGTGGAGCACAATTCCTGCCGATAGAAGGAAAACATCTCCCCTTGCAAAACAAGTGTCAGATACAGACACTTGAATATTCACTATTAAGAAACGTCAGGCAGGTTTCCAGCCCATATACAGAGCTGGAGTGTAAAAGCTGAGCAGAGGAAACACTTTTAACCTGTGCAAACCGCACTGACAGACACCTAAGGCGGTTCAAACCCTCCACGAGTCACCAACCAGGATCAACCATTCAACAAGCTCAAGCGCCACCTCCTGGAAAATCTCTTCAATTCGATTCAATTCTACTTTCAGGCCATATGGTAACAAGGCAAAAGAAAAGTTCATCAGTTTTCCTCTGGCTCATGCAAGATCTTTCAATGTTGAGTTTAACTGAAAAGCTATAACCATTGCCACATAGGAAACCCAGAGGAGCCGATTCACCTCAGCTGCCAACCACATCACAGGTTGGATCCTGCTGAGTGGTTACATTTGTAATGAGATTTTCAATGCTTTGGAAAAGAGGTCTTAACTTTTTTTCAGAAAGGTGACTAATTAAAGCTATAAGGTAGCAGTCAAGCATAGAAAAATGGATAATGTTGCAAAAATCAGAGGGAAAGCTTAGTTTAAAAGTACTCAAAAGCTTTAAAGGTTTTTCTCAGCCTACAAAACTGCGGTTAGAGCCTGCAAATGTCTATCACCTGGTGTAGTGCTTGTAAGGGAAATAGTCTAACTGCAGTTAATAGAACTCCTTACTAGCATGATGAAGCAAATGTGTAATAGGGTGGGTAAAATTTGCACAACAGAAGGGCAGCATCTTGTTTTGGACTGGGGGATTTGAAGTCATAAAATATAATGGGATCTGCTTTTCATTCTACCACTAAACCCAGAAGTAGAGGGTACATCTAAACCAGATTTTTAGAAAGGATTCGGTCTGAAAAATGCACAAAGGTTCCCATAAGAATATGCGTCTCCATCAAAAATGACTTGTCACACTGATGAAGATCACACATCACACCACAGCCTATCAGTTTTCACAGCATGGAATATCTGCAGTGGAATGAAAAACCCAAACCCCAAAGCAAAAAAAGGAACCCGTTGCTCAGATGTAAGAAGGTGTTTCAGATGCCCTGTGCACGCTGAAGGAAAATAGCAGTGGCTGCTTACATCAAAGAAAGTCCCTGCATGTTCCAGGATGAGCTGGTTGGAGTCAGGCTTGTTTTTGCAGTAGGTGACATACATCTGAAATTTATCTGCCTGTGAAAACAAACATCAAAGGAAAAGCAAGATAAGCTATTTTTCTGTCCCCAGTCTTTCATTAAGGCTCACCAGGACACACACAGGTGATAAACCTTCCCCTCAGAGACATAAGATTTGTAAATTACAAACAAAAGACTTACAGACAGTTCTTACCTTACCTGGGCAGTTCTGAGGAGAATGAGGTGCACCATATAACAGCTATGAGAGGCTTTCTTTACAATGATACAAAGGGAAGGTCTAAAAAGTGAATCCAGATATAAAATAATTTCTAAGAGCTCTAATTACACAGACTGTATCCAGAAGTCTGCAAGTCTCAAGACCCAGTCATGAGTGTTGGTTCTGTCATCTGCTTGACAATAAAGCTGGTGTAGAAACTGGGCAAGAGACTCCATGAGCTTAAATTGGACTGAGCCAACATTTTTGACTTAAGACTGGTTCAGATTTGTGATGCCTGGCCGAGACTTGCCTTTCCTACTTTGGTTCAGTCTTTAATGGTACAAACTTTATGTTGTGCTAGGAGTGTTTTGGATTTCACTTCCTAATTTATTTATTTTTAAAGGGAAATTAAGAGCATATGTGCACTCCTGCCTTAAAGCAATTTTGCATTATTGAACTTTGGTCTCAGAAAGAAGCAGGCAAACAGAAGAAGATAATAGCTTTCTTTTATTACTATTCCATTTTTTATATGAAGTGTCTACATAACGGGACAATTGGGCAGGCAGCTTTTTATACATGTCTGTAACCATACACACAGGTCTGCACATGTACTATTGCTGAGATGATGTGGTAGTATCTTAACGTACCATGAAGATTTTGCATAGAATGATACATAAAATGTGTCCATCTTTCATTAATATTTAATGGCTTTGTAAAAAATATTTCTGAATCCATTTCATCAATATTTGTGTCATGTTTTTAAATTAAAAGCCCATTTGAAATCACCCAAACATGCTCATTTTTTTGATAAGTGACAATTTTCTGTAATGACTTTTAAAATACTAATTCCCAGCTTTGAAACATGAATAAAACCAGCAGAGAAAACGTGAAGATGGCTGACTTGCCTGTTAAATATTTTGAAAAGAGAACAGCTTTCATACAGATAAATTACTTTTGCCAATTCCTGGAACCTCCTACACCCATGAAGACTGTCAGCATCAATATTTCAAGGTCCTGTTGGAAATTACTCTGGCAGTGGGTAATACAATGAGAGAGCACAGTGGCTCAGCATTTGACAGTAATTTATGACCGAAAATGTTGATGAAATATGTCGTTCATGCCTTTGTAGAGTCCTCATGGCATGACTATAATTCTCCAGGGAAGGCACAGTAAGATTTGAAAGGTCTGCCCTCCCAGGACCTTTCACAATGAATGTCACACCTACGTATAGGTTTGGTTTAATGAAATACTATTAAACAGGAACCAGTAGAGGTAAAATCTGTGCTAGTCAGTGCAGGACAAGAAGAGAGGCTCTAGAAAGCATTCGCTCCACTGCTTAGGAGCACAGTTAAGGAAGGGAACCTTTCACACTGAGCGAGGGACAAAGCGATCATTCCAGATTAGCTCCTAACCTCACTTATCACTAAGGATCTAATCATTGCTCCAGTTCCTAGCTTGTTTCCCTCTGTGATGGAGGAATTAATTTGAATAAATAATGAAAACAAGCCTCATTACCCAGGTGACGAAGCAGTGGCCCACATCCTCAGGCAGTTGTTCATATTTCTCCAGTTCTTTTAGAAAAATGCTGGAAAAAAGAAAACACCAAAGTAATTAGTTACAGTAAATAACCAGGAGAAGCAGAATGACCAACAAGTTAACCAGTGCTAATGATCAATACTTCTATCTTCTTCTTGCACAGAAGCATGCATATGGCAGCCTCTTCTCACCGTTTTTATGTGTATGATGCTGCATTTATCTGGCTGAAGCACTTGAAGAGTCCCAGAACTTCAACAGGGAAGGGCTTTCTGATTTGTTTTTTCAAACTGCTCTGGTTTTGATGTGTAACTTGAAGACAGACTTTGAAATTCAGACTGAACTTGCAGGATTCATCACCCCTAAATGTTAAGTATATAACTGCTATTGCATTCACATTATAGCAGGAACACAATGCCCTCTGAGCTGGTCTGATACACAGTCTTATCTTGATAAAATGGACTATGGTTAGTTACAGATTAAATACAGAGAGTCTCCAAGTTGCAGAGAAGCTACTTATTAACCCAGCTCATGTCAACCATCTCTTTTCCCCCTCCTCATGTTTTCCAAGAGATTATATTTTTAATAGGCAAACTTTGAGACTAGATCTAGTGCTGTGAGATGGAAAGCATGTATAGGACTACAAAACATCAGTATAAAGTATCTTCAATGTTGTTAATGAGCTGTAGACAAATTTTAAAATAAGTTGCAATTCATTTTTGTAAAACAAACAAAGCAAGCAATCAAACATTATTTTGCAAATCTGAATCAATCACTTTACACTCCTGTGTGCATTGTTCTGTAGATGTTCACTGCAGACACCATATGGTTGTATAGGTATACACATGCCTTTGGTTTCCTTAGTCAGTAAATATTAACAGGACTGTCAGGAAAACCTACTTGTTATGAAAGTCATATATCTCCTGAATATTGCCAAAGATGATGTGTTCTTTATTAAGGATCCCAGCAGGTATTTCTTCTACTCCACTTGTCATTTCCCAAAGGTAAGTCTGGAAGACACCAGCAATTCTTAGCTTTGTGAATAAATGCAATGAAAAAGAATAGATCTCCCTGTTCTATTGCCAAAGGCACAGGCTGACAAGAGAACTATGTACTCTGAGATCAAACTAACAAGCTAAAAAAAACATTAAAAAAATTAAGTATTCCACTGTCACAGAAAGCTCTCCAGAGAAATCCAAAGTGATGACACTTAGAAGTTGTCTAAGGAAAAACATGCCAACAACATCTGTCTTTGCTGTCCAACTGATGGTGTCCAAAAACTGCAGGCAGAAACAGTGGCAAGATAAGATGGTTTTGCCACTTCAGTAACATTACACACACAAAAATCTTTCAAACTGCAGGAATACGAAAGCTAACAGATTTCACTGCTTTTTCGCTTGAATATTACAGTCCCCTTCACCAACACCCTGCTGTAGAGCTAGACAAGATACTTGGCTGTGCAAATCCAGCTCTTTCCAAAAAAAATAAAATAACCCAAAGAAATAGATCTGAATTCTTAAGAAAATGCTCCATGATTCAAAAAAACCCCTATAAACCAACAAATTTCAGGTCAACATCCAAATATATTTCTCTTTACTGATTGTCAGAACATTGCTCTCGCTCTGCAGGGGTGAGTGCAGCTTTGTAAATAAAGACAAACTCGGGTGTCCCTGGAGGTGCAGATACTTACAGCCAAGTGTGGGAAGCACAGGGCATGGCTCAAACCAGTGGGAGACAAGCTTCCTCTGCTGCCCACCCAGCTCCCACCACCAGCAGGGCACAGCTCTGAGGCTAGTCACCAGTGGCGGTACCTTCACACAGTCTCTTGTCAAAGTACAAGAGTCAGTACAGTGAATATCTGCAAAGGATACCATGTCCTTCTTGAAAATACTGGAGACTTCCCAGGCTGTAACTTACCTCTAAACATTCATGTAAGTCCCTGACATAAGCTTTTTCTGTCTGAAGCAGCTCAGCCATAATAAATCTGGGGAAGGAAAAATAGTATTTCAGGTGTTTTGTACAAATGCCTATAATGTCCGATGAACAGGAAACAAAATAACCTTCTGTTATCTTAATCAGTGTACTTGCACTCTAAAATTTGAGCTGCCTTCCTTGGCACCTTTCAGGTCCACAAATGAAAAGCCACTTCATACTCTAGTCCCTTTTAGGGTTATTTTCTAAGTATCTTTTTTGAATAAAAGCCTATTAAGTTGTATTTCTGCAATCCTGAGCTCTGATTTACTATCTACATGCATACCATTAACAGTTAACTGTTTTACAGAATATTTTTTTTCCCAGGAGTAAGGACTTGAGATTCACCAAAAGCACTTGCATCTTCACTAATAGTCAATTGTAAGGGACCCTGAAACTTGACCTTCAGTGGCAACACAGAGGGATTTGGGAGACACCACGACTTTGAAGAGGCTTCAGCATCTTGCTATCCAACATGAAAGAATCCAGACTACTGGGAAGCCCAAGAACCACATCTGTACTGTCTGAGGCTGGGCATCTCAAAGTTGAAATGCCCGATGTTTTGAAAATGTGCCACAGTCAAATCAAGTGAAACCACTGTTCCCTAAAGCAGAAACAGTTTCTTATTAAGGTTATGCACTTAAGTGACAATTCCAGAGATCTGAGAAGGATTGTACATACAAATGCTTTACAGAATATTCTCACACAAAAATTAGGACAAAATACTGTGAAATTAGAGTGTTTCTAAATTTGTGTGCAACAAGCACTCGCAAAATATTTCCTCTAGTATGAAATATTTCCAGTTCTCCACCCACCAAAATTTGAACCTTAACTTCAAGTGAACTCATGAGTCACTGAAACCCAGTTAACTCCTCTGGATGTCATTGAAGTTTAGATAATACCTAAATGTATAAAGATGCCTTCCATTTTTTTTCTGTTCATTTTACTTGTCACATACAGCCACAAAGAAATAATGACAGTGAGTACCTCCATGACATCAGGGTCTAATTGAAATGCTTGACTTACTCCTTTCCCTTTCCAAAAGTTAACTTCTGCTTAAAACCAAAATAAATTCAACCTGTATGTTCTGAAATTCTTTAGCCTACAATGTCTGCCCTACACCTGTAGACTTATATCAATAACTTCACAGCTGGAAGGAATTACAGGGTTGCCAGTCAGTTCTGGTTACGCAAATACCATAGAATCACTCTTAGATAATACATCATGGCAGACTGTGAGGGTCTGGGGACATACTCTTTCTTTCTGGCCGACTTCCTTTTTTCTTCATTGACTTCATGATTTGCATCTCGCAGCTTTACCTCCCGGTCAGAAAGACTTGCTGGAATAATATCTAGTTCTAGGTCCTTGTTATCCTACAAAAAAATGACAGTACAGATTTTAAATCCATTGTAATCCTACTGTTGTATAAAATGCAGCATGTTCATGAGATCAAATGGCTAAGAAGGAACAAAAGAAACATAATAATACCAATGTCAGAAAGAAGGAAATTCAAAGAGATTTCAAAGAACTCGAGTGAGAAGGGAGAAAGTAAGAGGGTAAGAGAGAAATCTTAAAAAAAACACCAACTATGAGATTCATTCCAGTCTTCACTGTTACCCCTATCTAGGAATAGGTATTAATGACAAACATCTAAATTTTACCTTACGGCTTCACATCTAAATTAGTTGCCTAGTATGGGACTTTGTAAATAGTCTGATAAAGCAGAACACTATGTAAAGACAATCCCAACTTCCAATAGCCTTCTGCCATGAATGTGGTTAGTAATTTTGTGTAAACCAGAGACAGTGCTACGTAAGGTATCTTGAGGGTTTGAGGGAACTTACTCCTCTTTCTTTGACACTTATTTTCAAACGATTGTTGACCGAGATATTTTTAAGTGTTTCTGCTTCTGACACTCCCCCTTAATACTGTGCCCAGGGAATAGCAGAAAGTTTCAATTTTTGTTTCTCTTGTTATGTGTTATTTCACCTAAAATTGCTCAGAGATGAGGTTGAGGATCAATTTTTTGATTAATTAAAGGACCAGAGAATGGAAACTTACAGTCAAAGCTGACTGATTCAAGATAATGGCATGGGAAGAGCATTTATGGCTTATGCTAAAATTATACAGACTTTTATTCAAATAATGTGTATCCCCCTCCTTCCCAGTAGCTGTACGATCTCATGAAGAACTGTGCAAACATTTGTTTAGAAAGTCCTTCTGATCTTCATCTGCCTCCTCCTCCTATCAGTGATCTGCCAGAAAAGAACCTTTTCTCTACAGAAACAGTTCTGAGCTTGGACTGGAGTTCAGTTCTGAGTTGGTTGGATTTTAAATGTTTCTAGTGGACACACGATAATCTGCAGCATTCATATCATATCCTTCATTTCCCTCTGTGACTTTCAGGTTTGGTATAAAACCCCAGCAGGACATGGACTTATAGTACCTCTGTATTGATTCCGAGGGCTTTTTCCAGGGAGTAGCGGTATTTCCCCATCCTGAGAGAGAAGTCACGGTAGCGTTTGTCAACGGTGGTGACCCACTTCCTAATTTCAGTGGCGTGTATATGTCCTTTTTCTACAAAGCTGTCAGCCAGCTGGATGAGAAGCTTCACTTTCTCCTTTGTTTGCTGCCCAAAATATGGTCATCTGTTATGTTGCATTATTATTATTTCCTTTGCTTTTAATTCACACAGCAGTCAGAAGCAGTTTGCAATTTTTTATACATCATTAAAGAGTGCCTGTACTTCATCTTAACAGAAACAGATGCTTTAAACTTTGCCCAGTAAAACATGAAAGGAATTACATTTTTATAAGGACACTTATGAAGCTGCATGAGATAAAAAAGTCAAGTTTTGCAACCACACACACACACAAACATGTAAGGAAAACATGTTGGAAGTTAGACATGCCTCCTTTCCCACAACCAGAACCTTATTTTTTGTAAGCCTTGGAGTAGAAGGCAGGATTTAAAAATCACACCTCATAAAATAGACCAAGTTACTCTGAATCTATACATAGGTGATTCTGCAGACCTGTGTAGGCAGGTCATTAATACACCACATATCAGTCCAGGAAGCGAGTTTGAGTCACTACGACGCTGTTTCAGAAACAAACAGAATTTAAATCCAAATTCCAGGTCTACTATAAAATCCTTTATGAGTATTTTAGTCCCAGTTAGAGCATTACAAGTTAAAAGATGCCTGAACTCCAAAACACCCACTGAGCCCTCAAACCTTCCAGAAGTCTTTTCCACTTGGAGTCTAACTGCCCCTTAGTCACTATATTGAGGAACTTTGTGCAAATCTGGCACAAAGGAGGTAGTTATAATTTTTAGCTTAGATTCCAAATCTATCCCAGGAACCAAAGGTGCCTGGACAACATGTTTGAGCCAACTCTAGTACAAAGTGCTTATAAAAACCTTGATATCAACTGTACAGACTGCATCCAGCTATAATGCAGATGTTAATCCTCAAAAGCAAAAGGAGAATCAGTTGTATCCCCAGAGGTACTGGCAAGGTGATTTTCAGAGATGGGGAGAACTTTCCATACTGCCTGAAGCAAGACATACTGTCAGGAACTTGACATTATCAGCAATCTGGCCACAAATGGACAAGCGCAGGTGAGACCAGAAAACATCTAGCAGATTTCAAACACAGAACTGAATTTAAAAAATTTCCCCAGCAAAATAAATTAACAGCTGAATCAGAGGTCATCTTAGCAAAGTATTTGAGCACGTAAGCAAGGCTAGGAGAAGTAAAAATCTAACTTGCTGTTATATTTAAAGGGTGTTTCATTCCCAAAAGCTACTGTTGGGGTTTTTTTCCAAACAATTGTTGAAGTCAGAAAGTTATTGGGATCAGGAAGGCTTTCAGTTACAGCTTAATTTGAGAATAACATGAGTCCATGAGTGACATGCATTTACCAGATTGTACGTGGCAGTGAAAATATTCTAGGTCAGCAGTAGGAAAGTGATTTACTAGAGCCCTAGGGAACAAGACTAGATGTGTCAGTGTAAGGAACAGTCAGTAACAGCCAATAAGGAACAAGGTATAAAACTGACTCCTAGGCTAAGATAAGGGTAAGAAATAGTTTGGAAACGTCAGGATTATTTGGGATTATTCCGATCAAGATTAATTTATAAATGGAAACATTATTTCAGAGGGATTAATTATGGATGGTTAGAGTCCAGAAGTACTGTTAAAGGAATTTTGTACAGGTCCTGTCTGATGAAATTAGCTTCCATCCATTGCTGGTTATGACCCATATTCACAAAGATGCAAGCTAAGCAAAAAGGAAGGGGGCAAGAACACCACAAAGCCTATAAATCAAACCCATGCAAGTATGGATAACCTAATGAGGAATTTAAGGATTATAGAAGATCAATTTCAGGACACAGTGAAATGAAGCTACATAATAACAAAGCCACAGTCTTGCTGCAGTCTGACTCTGCTGCACTGATCCTTATCAGTGACTGTTAATACCCCTGTGGATTTACTGTCTGTGAATTACCTATAGTTTGAATTAATTTGTCTGAAGCAGATCCAATCATCATTCCTCTGTAAACCCCACCAGATTTCTCAGAATTGGTCCACAGAAATTAAGAGATTGTTGGTAATGCAGTTTTGTATTAAAAAAAGTTCACCCCAGAGATAACACACACATTTATTTGAAGTATTTCATTGGGTTAATTTGTAATGAAATATATGATCATCTGTGATCAACCCAGCTGGAATCAACGAAACAAGTTCTTGTTGTAAAGATAAAAGAAAGAAGGGATCCAAGATGACCATGGATATGTTCAGATCAATTAGTTACTTTATTCCATTCTTGTATGATTGATTGAGGATGGAATTAGTGTATGTCTCGTTAGGTTACTGTGAATTCTGTATGCAAATGGAGTTCTTCCTTCTGATCAGAACAAAAATGCTCTATGGTCAGTACAGAACAAGGACAGAAAATCTCCTTTGTGTGCCTATGACTTGCTAAAAATGAAAGATTACAGCTCTCAAAAGACATTTATCTTCTGGGCTAGGAATGTCAAGAGGGAAAAACAAAATCAAGAGAATATTATTACAGAGATTTAAGGCAATGAAATAGGATCATAAACATAGACTAAGGCAGATGCTGTAATTAGATTAAAGTCACTGTTTACCTTGGCGGGTACTCTGAATTCCCCGTACTCCTTCAGGAGTTCCTGAGTTTCTTCTGCTGATTCCCCTGTGGAGTTGTGAGTAGAGAGGTAATATTCGCCCGTTTCTTGGATCCAGTCTAAGGCCTGTGAATGTCAAAAAAAAAAAAAAAAGGCAAAACCAAAGGAAAACCAAAACAAACAGTCTTTGTATTTCAAGAACTAATCCTCTGACAAAAAAAAAAAATGAATCTGCCAAATAGAGGATAGTAAATCCATTGGGACTTAATACTGTGTATACTAAAACACTTCCTAGGAACACACAAGAAGAATACAGTAATCAAAGCAAGTGGGAGAGGATACAAAAGGTAGTGTATGTTTCCTAGAAGAAAAAAGAGTGTAGGGGATTCTACTTATATGCAGATAAATATGCATGCAGGGAAAGCAGTTTTCTCATTCAGTAACAGCTCAATAAAACAAGTTTGCTCTTGCATTTATTTTCAAACAAATGAAAAAAAAAAACAACAAAAAACCCACAGAAATTAATCTGGCCTGGCAAAAATACTGAGTTTTGGAATTTTCTTAAATTGTTTTAAAAATCTTTGCCATGTTTTCCAAAGTTACAGTTTTTAAATATAGCTTGAGACTGCAACAGGAACCTCACACAGAGGCATTCATTAAACAGATACAGGAAATACACACTGCCAGGTCAGAAAGACAAAGTAGGGTTTTTACACTACCTGCTTGGCACTGCGCTCAAAGACAACATATTGTTGGCACTGGTCTAATCTCCGCTTCTTCAGGGTCCAGAAGTGAAGGACCCGGTTCTCCCTCTGCAACAGCTCACTCAGAATGGCTGTAGGGCAAAGGAAAATGTCTGCATGATTAGTTATTCTCTGAGTGCTTACAGAAATAAGCCATAAAAAGTTGAATTTACTCAGTGCCTGGAATGCAATCCCAAGAGCAGAGCCCCTGAGATTGAATCCATACTTTTCTTTTGCAAAAGTACAAAGAGGCTGCTTAAAAAAACGAACTAAACCAAATACCAACCCAAAAGAAGCGTAGCTGCATGGTTATCTGGTAAAGGAGAAGATGCTACAACAGAGGTTGGGATTTACCCCAGTAGCTACACTGGGCTACATGATTTCTAGTCCTTCCTTGTACTAGTTGACATAAGAGAAGTTGTCCTTTTATTGCCTTGTCTGTTGCTCTGCCCACAGGCAGTACTTGGCACCAAAGCCTAGTGTCTCATACAGAGCTCTGGTCATGACTGAATTTAATTCAGACCTAACCTCTCAGTTTGAAATACCTGGTAAGGTTTCTTGTACAGCTGCTCTGACTGATGACCCACGATGCGCTACCTGTGAAGTTATTACTGGACTAGTATTTTAGGTCTGATATTCGTCCTCTAAGATGTTTTCTGAGTGAGAGGGATGTGACAGACACCCAGATTCAGCAAGAGACTGGCAGGAGACCTGCTACTCCTTGGAGTCTAGGACATACATGTTCTCCTTCAAAATGCAAATGCTCTGTCAGACTGTATCAACTTGATAAAAGGGTGTGATCTGCCTCTTTAAAAAGTATCGTGTGTTTAACTGGAAAGATGAGAAGCAGAGAGAGTGCAGGAGATTTACACTGTATCGCTAACACACATCTTAGTTAAACCTGAGTTTTCCTGTTTAAACTGAGCTGAGCCATGTGCAGCTGGCAGCAGTTTAACTCACCCAGCCATGTTTGGGTATGGAGCTCAGGTCGCTGCCTTGGCAAGTAAGGCATGGCAGCCCTCCTGCCCTAACCTCCAAGGCAGCATCCACTAGAGGGGGCTTAGGCACAAGCAGCCGGGGTAGCAGCTACGTTTTTATATTAGAACATCGAGCGTGGTTTCTCAACCACTTACAGTAACCTATGATCATTTGCAACACCTGTTAACAACCTCTCTCATCCTAAGCCATTCCCGAATATACTGATATTCATTGCTTATGCTACCAACACTGGTGGCAGCAAACAGAATTGGATGTATCCCTTCCTGTTTACAAGTGTGATTGATTTAGGTCAAAAAAATCTGTAATACTTAAGTTAACTGCAAAACCTAGCCTAGTCCCTGCTGAGGACAATGTGAACTTCGAATGACAAAAGGAATTCAAACCTTGTCATGGGTGCTGTAGATCAGGTCTCTGCATAAACAGTCTATGCCAAATAAAACTAATTTTGTTCTGCATTAATGACTTTGCTTTGGAAGCACAGTAAATATCCTACTATACGGTTGTTTTATTCCAAACTAGAGTGCCCACTCAAAGATTTTCTTTGGACGGAGTCGCCAATCACAAGAATCACATATTTGGCTTAGAAAAAGACTAATATCGAAGTTGATTTTTATATAAGTGAGTAATTTAAAACAAGCTCAGTGACGAACACTCACAAGCTTCTATCAGGTGCATATTTAAAGGCTTACTGATTCAGGAGTTAATTCCTCTTCCCATGATTTTCAACTATAGGGAACAGAACTCCACAACAACAAGCATTTGACACAGTAGCATGGGAAATTTGAACAAAGACATGTTAACACTGAAGAACTGGCATTGAAGGGAACAAAAATAATCTCTTCAGTAGCACCATTTTCATCTTCTGTGTAAAACCCAAGTTCCCATCCCTGCCGTATATAATGATGACACTGCATTTAACCTGTATCTTTCTGCAGCTTGTAAGAAAGCCAGTAACAACAAAAACGTTTTATTTCTGCAGAATCACTTAGCTCATTTGCAGCATTTCTAGGCAAAGATTAATTGTCTAATTAAGCAGAGAAGTAGAAACATTTCAAACATCTCAGATGTATCTCCTGATTGTAAACAATGCTCTTTTGTCAGAAGGAAAGTAACTACAGTCAAATACTTTTGCTGGTGATTGGTTGATGTGGTATGACATCCAACAGAATTCCAGGGACAAAAAATAGCAGATCCATCCTAGGGACAAACAACTTTGGGACTCTCCTGACAAGAGAAGGAAGAAAGCACCCATGTTTCAAACCCTTTTCCTTTCCCAGTCCACTACCACTTGCAACAGCAGAGTTCTGTATAAGAGCTCACGCTTAGCAGAGAGGGATCACTTTCTGCGAGGCCTCACTACCATTGCTAAACGTGTCAGGCATATGTATCGTTTCATTCACAATGGACGGTGCCTTCTCAGCATGTTCACAAACTTTAGGATGACCACACAACATAAGGAGAAGCAAAGAAAACCTTCAGTGCTGTCATTGCACTAGTGCACCAACCTTTCACCTGCTGCTCAGGGCCTCTTGTATGGCTTGCTACTCCAGGCATGCTGACATTGTTCCTGTGGATGTACTTGAGGAATACCTCTGCATTCCTTCGTGCCAGTGTACAGGCCTAAGAAAAACAGCCGCCACCGAAAAGAATCAGTAAAGATGAGCAAGGAAAGCAAACGGGACCTAAGCGAGTTCTCTAATCATTTTGCAGGGAGAAGTTCTCTTTTATCGGGGAACACGAGAGCTTCAGCTAATAGGCTAATAGTCAATAAACTCAGCTAATAAATGAACAGACTCATACATGTATTAAAACATGAGTCATTTTGAATATAATGGCTGATGTTATACATTAAGGCAAATTAATAGCAATAATAAACCAACTGGTTGTAAAGAGCTAGTACAAAACATTTTCAATCTAACCAAAGCTAACCCCGTCTCCGAAGAAAAGTACTCATTTCAATAAAATGTACAATCCAAAGGCATAGTTTCTTAAGCTTTGCCTGCAAGCATAGTTTCATGTTGTGTATTAGTTTTAGTGGAAGGTGGGAGGCTGGTTATCAGTTGACTTGTCAGCCTGTCAGCTCCACAGTTCTTACAAAGCAGCACCTGGAAGGCAGGAGCAGGAGGAAATCTGTCTCCACCCTGGTCCTGCCCTGCAGACACACGATTGTTTCAGTTGCTAGTAGTTCTTCAGTTATTGGCTTTGAGGACAACATTTTAAATGCTGGATGGTTTGTATAAGGCAACACCAAAATGATGTATAATACCTGTAATTTATAATGCTCATCATATGCAATTTTGAGAATTTGAACTTTGAACCAGCACAACTAACATCTTCCAACTGCAACGCAAATGCCACCTAATTAGTCCTGATGACATCTGAGATATGCATTAAAGATAATGCCTATTACCCCTTCCATAACAATGCAAAGCTGGTTTAGGATTTATACAGCCAGCTAGTAGGTGAATGAAATTTACACCTCAGGGCCTCCTCGCAAACTCACCAACAGTGCTCTAAACAGACTACGTAATGAGGAACTATTCTGATTTATTAGAGAACTAAAATGAGACCTTGAGAAAAGCCTCCTTCTGTTCCAGGTGTTTGCTGATCAGAGGGATGACGTGGTCTATCTCAGATGCTGGTCCAAGTTTATCTCGACCTCCACACCAGTCTTCATCCCGTCTGTATTCCTGCTCCAGACTTTCTAATACGCTGCACACCTGAAACATGCCCATAGCACAATAATTCAGTTATCTACAGTTCTAATCAGGAGAAACATATTCATTAAAAGGCTATGACCAATGACATTTTAAATCTAAATGTATTGGACTCTGGGCCATGGTATGGGGATAACTGGGTAGGAAATAGGCCCTGGACAGAGGGATATGTCAGTTTTTCTTACCCATAGCGATCTCTGCTTTTTCGGATACAATTTATCTAGTTTAAGGGTGATGAATTATTCTCTCTTCCAATGGATAATGGGGGCAGGGGGAAACTCAAAACATTGAACTAAGGCAGAGGTCAGTCTGGCCCCAGTGGATGTTTCAGGAAACTATCCCCATTCTGGAAGGGTGCTTCAGATGTGTTTAAATCCTACTGAAGTCAAGGAACTTAGCACATACTTAAAGAAAAACACATGCTTAAATACTTTCCTGAAACCAAGTCTGAAGCTGGAACTAATTCTCTTCAGCTGCATGTTTGTTGTTCCCCATACAGCTTTTGTAAAGACTGATGGAAACCAATCGACATTAAATCAGTGTCACAACCTAGGTGGATGCAGGTGTTCCACTGTACAGGGCTTACGCATGTATCCTCTACCTTGGTAGAATAATGGGCATGAGGTAAATAAACCAACACAGTCTGAAAATCGTGTGTGCAGTGGCCTCAGACAAGGTTGAGTTTTACACGTTGTAGATCCTGGGAACAGCTTCGGTGGCCTGTGCAGACACTGAAAAAACTGTGAAAAGTGTTCCAGAACATTTGGAATTTTCCTCTTGTTTCCCAGCTGGCTCTCCCTACACACTCCACTGTTGAGATTACTCAAGATCCAGTATACATAGTATACTTGAGAAAGACATGCATGAAAAAGTTTGGCTGGTTGTGACAGTCTCTCCACCCTTTTAGCTACTTTTGTAGATACTCAGAGAATTCGGGATTCAGTAAATTACTCAATCCACTGTCAGCCAGTCAGGGAGCAGATCGTTAAGGACCATGGATCAGGTGTGCAGCCCAAGAGACGGTGACAGACTACTTGCAGCAGTGAGTGTACAAGCATGTGAAGACTGAATGATCTTTGCCCTAAACATTTGCTGAATAGACGCAACTAACAAATGAACTGGCAGGCACTGCAATATGCATGTCTAGGACTTGGAAACAGGAAGAGAGACTGAATTGATAAATTGCTGGCTATGCATACTTTGATCAGCACATTTGACTGTCTAAAGCACTAATGAATCCCTTAATGGTTTTTCATTTCTCACAATCCTCCATCATCAGTAATTAATTTCAATCTTGAATGCATCAGGGACTGTAAATCTATTTGAAACTCATCACAGTGAAAGATATTAATTCTTAAACAATCTTAAAAATGCATTAAAAAAATGACACCAAAAAGTGGCCCAAAGGTCATCTACAGCCTCAATGCTAAGGAAAAATATAATCTCTTACCCTAATAATATATTTAGTATTCGAGTGCCCACACTGTGACAGTAATTTTCACTGACTACAATATAAATGGCACCTGTCTGTACAAGGGATGAATAATTGCACTGTACCAGCAACCAACTGGAATGCATTTTGCAATTCATGGACACCTGGAATGAAGTGAAGTTGTGTCAACATATAATGGATACTGCTGTAATTATCTGCATTGCAGACAGCTTTAAGAGAAATCCCGTCCATATCTTGGCATCTTTTTTGGCATGGTGGTGTTTGACTACTAGCGAAAACACTGGCTAGTACTGCTCACAAAGTAACAAGTAAGTAATTGCAAGCATTTCTCAAGAAAAAGCAGATTTATATTCCTCAAAATTGGTATCCTGAGAACTTGTAGCAAAAAGGGTGGTATTTCAGAAATTTTGCCTCTTTGGAAGGGGGACAATTAAAAAAACCTTCAAGATTTACATTGTTTCACTGAAAACTTTGAGATGAAAGTCATTGCAAACTGCTGCTTTCTTTTGTTTGGTTGGTTTTGATTTTTTTTTTTTTTACAATACTTGTCAAAGAAACAGTTTTGATTAGTTCAAACTATTTTCCATGTGTGGCTTAGCACTGCTATGTCAATGGAGCAAATGTCACTTGATTTTGCCAATGTTGTGAGATCGCTTGCTGGCAGAAGACCCCCTGTGCTCAGTGTCAGAGTAGAAAACTCAGCACTCCTACATTGTGGAGTGCACTCACACTAGTGTGAACCAGTTGGGAGTCACCTGAGGGCTCAATACTGGCCCTGTTCAGGTGACAGAAAGGTTTACATCTACTATATGTGGACGAAGACATGTGAACATATGTGAAAATACAAACTGCAGCTTTTAGGGGCAAGCAGGACTGACTGAAGCCACTCTCTTCCTACTTCTAGGATTACTCATGGAAAAGGGAGAAGAATGAGTACTGCTCCTTAGTGGTATTATCAGAGGAGGTATTTGGAACAGTTTTAACACTGTGCTGATCTTGGTGAGAGGCAGGACCTTCTCACTATACATGGGGAGCTAAATCCCAGGCTGTAGTGATATGCTATGGAACAGATATGATACTGCTCAGCTCACCTGCTCAGACGTTTTATAGAAGGCCACTGAGGCATTGACAAGTTTGAGCCTGTCTTCCATCTTCAGCATCAGCTGCTGCCAGTGCAGGGCCACCTTTTCAGCACATTCTCTGATAGCATCAGCATCATAATGCCCAGCCTGGAGCAACACTTCAGCTTTCTGCTGGACTTGCAGGGCACTCTGGTGTGTCTTCTGTAAGGAAGTGGCATGAAAGAGGGACTGTGTATGAGGGGAGGAAAGAGAGGTTGTATAGATGCGCCAGATGTATGGTAGAAAGGTGAAGCGAGGTGTGAGCATGGAGATGTGAGAGAGTGAAACATTTTCAGAGAGTTATCTTCAATTAACAGTTACTTTCTGCAAAGCATTTTAGTTTCAATTATTCACACACATTTGCAACATGTTATTAAAGCTTGGGACAAGCAAGCACTGGCTAAAATGGGTTAGGTCCACTGATCAGCTACGGCCCCTTGGGCAACAGCCCAGGCTGGCGTTCCTGGTGGATCCATTTGGACAACCCCAATGCACGTAGCTGTTGTGATGAGCTCCCACCCAGCCTGTATTCGGCGCTCACTGCATCCCACACAAGAGGCAGATACAAAGGCAGACACCAAAGAGTGGGCAAGTATGGGCCTAATCACCCTAATTTGACTCTTTCCAGGCAGTTTGCTGGCATCAGCAGCTTTACTTAAGCATGTAATTGTCCTGTCTGCAGGATACCAAACACCAACCCCAGAAGATACAAAGATGCCTTGCTAAAAGGCACGAACTCCAGCACAAATATCAGCCCCTATGAGATATATGTCTGAAAGTCAGGTCACTCACACTGGAGCTACTTTGCTACCTTTAGGGGCAGATCTAGGGGGAGTCAAACTGTTTTTATTCCACCATTCCCCAGTTTACTCAGTAGCCACTTTACAGACAGGACTGAACTATCTGTTGCATCCCCCAGCCTACACCAGCTCCTGGTGGTTACACCTTCCTGTCTGAGCTGCTGAGAGGAAAATAGCCCCTGGCCCTTCATGGCCTCCTGAGTAGCTGTATTCAGGCATGATTTAGTCCAATATTTGATTTTAATTTTCTGAACAGAAGCCCTAAAATCTCCCAAAGACTCCTCTGTTCAGCATCCCATTTGTAACTGCTGCTGACAAATTCTCATGTGATACTTTCATGATCTAATCCTTGAACCTGGAAAGAAGCTTGAAATCTTCTGGTAATGCACTGATGAGTAATGTAATGCAGAGAAAGCTATTAGCAAAGAAAGGATTAATACTTGGCAGAAACATCTAGGAAGATGTTCAAGAACAACTGGTTAAATTTAATATCCAGCTGCTTTACTGATGTTATAATTGTAATACTTGTTTTAAATAGACTTTAAAGGATTTCAACTGAAAATCAATCCCACATCTAGAATGCCTTTAGAGAACAGTCTGCCTTGTGTGCTTTACTGATCTCTTCCCCATATTGAGCTTTAAACAGTTTAAATATTTAATCTCGTGATTTCTTCCTTTGAAAACTTATTTTTCTCTTACTGTGGCATAACCCTCTTCTCTGTCTGTGATTTGCATTTACCACCAAATACAAGCACTTCCCCAATGGCAGCAAGCTGTGATAACACAGCCAGTGGGTGTCTTATTCCCCACTGTCGTCTGGTGATGGCTGCCAAGATGTGGTCAGCACAGCTCGGTACCAGCCAGCTCACTCAGAATTGATAGAAAACTTCTTCCTTTTCTCTTAGAAGCTGCAATAGCTGCTCCTTCCTTAGTGTGAGTGGAGCTGGACCGGAACAGGCCATTAGCTGAGATTTAAACTCTATACTTAGTAGCACGCTATAATATATATTGCTTTATTTAAAGTTTAGCAGAAGACATAAAGACACTCCATTCCCCCAAAATCTCCATTATGGAATTATTATTTTCATAGTTTAAAGTTTGGGTTAGTTTTGGTTATTTTCAAGTATATATAAACCACAGAAAGGGCTTTTCCAACTTGTCTGCTCTGTAAAAAGCTAACAATTAACATAATCTGGGAAGCATATACATCCTGTTGATCAGGAACAGGAGAAAGCAATGGACCCCCTTTTTAGCAGCTGGAGTGAGCATACCCTGTGAGTGTAGGATTTGCTTATGACAAAGATATATAAAGTAACGAGCCGAACTATGAATCTTGTAGTGCCCTACTCAGGAAGTCCACAGCCCTCCACTACCTTCTCATCCAAAGTAAAGCAGTCTGAAAGAGGTGCCATTCCTCCTGCCATGTCCTGGCCCCATGAGTGAGGCAAATGTTTTGGCTCACAACTAGTTTTTGAGTGCCATGTCAAAGATGCGTTACTCCAGGGCAAGCAGGGGCAAAAGCTCAGTTTAGCAGGTAATTCTTAAAAACCGACCCTCTTGCCTCTTCTTCAAAGTTATGTGGGTTCAAATGTCTCTTCTGCTGTCCACAAAAGGAGAGCTGAATGAAACAAAGATTTCATGTGACAGCGTTATCCATTAACAAAGATATTCATAAATGAACGCTGTGAAATGATCTGTAGATAGTGGACGTGGGAAGAAACTGACTTCACAAAGTTTTCCTAGTTTCAGAACACTTTGTGAAGTTTAATCTTCTCATTTTTTTTACCAAAGAAATTATCAGAAGATGCATGAGTGCCATTTTTATGAATGGAAAGGCTGATGTCTGACAGCAGAAGAATTAGCTGCAGATGATTAGTAATTTATTTCACTATTAACTTCCAGCTACATTACAAGTTTAATGATAAGATGATTTTCTAAAGTTTTTATTTTTTCCCTTCCTCCAAGAAAGCAACAATTAACACTCAACAGATAACCATTTGTATGATGTTCACCTGCAAAGGAGAAACAAAGTTAACTCATTCATTTTACCTCTATGGCCAGCTGAAACTGCTCGTGCTCTCGCTGGAGCTGCTCAGCTTCAGAGAGGGAGCTTGCATTGACAAGGCTTGCATTCAGCATTGATTCACCATTCCTGATCCAGCCAAGCACCTGTAAAGAAAGGATGTACTTATGGAAAGGTTGCTTCAGTACAAAGGCTTATGCAGTTACTGATCAGAAAATGCTTTGGACCTGGCTAACAAAAAGGTACTTTGCTCAGAGTGGTGTCAGGCTGAACCAGTGAGCAGAAAGCAAGCCTAGGTAAGGACTTAATGACATACATTTTTAGATGGCAAAGATTGCATTGAAAAAGTTACTGCTTGAAGAATTAAACTCCTAAAGTATTTACATGGACATTCAGAAAGGAAGGAGCTTTCATTTCCAACGCTTGATCACAAAAATGAATGTTCCCCTATACAAATACCAAGGGCAAGAGCAGAAAGTACAATAAGAGAAATTTGAAATTAAACATAAAGATCTCCCTCTCTTTCAAATTTCCAAATTGCATTATGGACCATGCACCTCCTTTCTGCACCACGTCCCTGTGCTTCTTCCACACAAAAGTCAGAGCTTAGCAGTAGGGAGGAAGAAGACACAGCTGGTTTCAGCTGACATGGAGTTAAGAAGCAGTTGGAGCTTCTGCCTGCATGCACAGCTAGGAACAAATCACAGGTCTTGAATTTCATATTTAGTCAAGAGGCTTTACTTCAAGGATATTCAGATTATTTGTAGACATGCAACCCATGCCGTGATGACTGCAGAATCAAATACTAAATGTACGTAATTAATCTACCAAGCTTATACTTATTCACTTAAGCAGCAACGTTTTCTGCTATTTTAAGACATGTTTGGAAAATGATCAACCAGAACACAAGTTCTTTGCTGTGTTGTCTCAAAGCCTATTTTCTACCTATGTAGGTGTGAAATTATTCCGATAAAGCCAGAAAGTTGCTGAAATCAATTCAGAGATGCACAGGAAATCCTTACCACCCAATCACTGCCCTAAATTTAGCTTGTGACTTACAAAGCTCCCAAATTGACTTTGCTGCAATATTCTACATAATAATTTCCCTTTTGTACCATCGTTTTCACCAAGTGATCCATTAAATTGCCTGAAATAAATAGGGATTTTCTGTTGTTTTGGGTTTTATCCCTGCATTGTGTATCACCCTCATTATAGCCATTCAGTTCCCTGTAGGGTACGAAAATGAGTTTTTCCTAGGCGAAAGAAAGGGAAGCCATCTACACACGTAGCTGACCCTAATTTGCCGAAAATTACATTCTGCTCAGTACAAGAGTGTGGAAGATTTCATTTGTCAGCTTTCACTCTTTCATCAGCAGGTGTTATTGTTCCTGTGGGAAATGCAATGAAGATTTAAAGGAAAAGAAATCAGGTTATCACATGGCAATCTTTTTGGCTGGCATTTTCTATAATCCATCAGACAAGAAAAATACATTGTTACCGACTACATGGTACCAAAAGCTGAAGTTATACCGAAGGATCACAGTGTCTGGAAAAGACTTGAAGTGAGGACATTATGAAGCAAGACATACTTTCATTTTTTATATACCATGGTATATAAAATATATTTAGTGGCTGCTAAAAACGCAGCAGGTTTTTTTTTTTTCTTTTTTTTCTTTTCTGAGCTGCAATTTTCAAAAACTGCCACAGAGGTTTTAACATAGATTTCATAGAAATATCTGAGTCTCCAAATACTAAAACAACAACAAAAAGAAACACACCAGCAACCTGTCTTAAACCAAAGCAACTTGATGGGTAAAAAGCTAATACGTAGCAAGTTTGAACAAGGAGGAAGAGACCATACAACTGATTATGGTTGGAAACCAAACAACTAGGTTTCCTCTAGTGTTAATTCCTCTGTACAGATGTCTTGTTGACTCGAACATGTTATATCCAGGGTAGAGCAGTTCAGGTCAGGCTCTGATGGGCTACATCTTGTCAGCAATGTTTACAGCACTCTTGACAAGAGCTGCTGCCATTACTGAGTTGTGCCCCTCTCTCCTTCCCCAAAGTGCAGGTTCAGATGCTCACTGCGGAGCTCCTACACTTCCCTTCCAGGCCCAGTGAGCACCCAAGCACTAGCAAATTTTGTTTGGAAGAACTTAAATAATTACCATATTTCACTTCAAAAAGTCTAATGCTTAAATGTCAGAACCTCATCAGGGATTCATAGAATCACAAAATAGTTAGGGTTGGAAAGGACCTTAAGATCATGTAGTTCCAACCCCCCTGCCATGGGCAGGGGCACCTCGCACTAAACCATGTCACCCAAGACTCCGTCCAACCTGGCCTTGAACACCACCAGGGATGTGGTGATGTTCCTTGGGCAACCCATTCCAGTGCTTCACCACCCTCAACTGCACCAGCTTTTTCCATAGTAATGTTTTTCTCTTAGTTTTTTTTCCTCCTCTTCTTTTGTGCATGTCTTTCAAAAAGAGAAAAATTCAGTTGCATACCCAAAGCTTCTTAAATCTAAGTGCGAAAACTAGTCACCTGCAGAGCCTTTCATTCTGTGTCACAGAAGGAGACTGTGAAATGGTTGGAAGAGAGCATTTACACACTTGTATCTGTTTTACAAGACCTGCTCATAAATTGGCTCCTACTTATATGGTGCTTAATACCTTTTCATTGAAATATGCATAGAAGCTAATACAGCACCAAGACACTTCTCCAATAACTTCCCGTATTAATAGATTCACCATTATCTGGCAATGTGAGTACAGGCCAACAGCAAAGGATATCTTTAAACAGACATTTCCTAAAAATTACAGATTTTATCAACTTTGTATAAGCAGTGATTAATAATTCTAGAGTTAAATAAATCTCCAAAGACTCTTAAAAAGTCTAACTTTTGTGGGTTCGGTTTTTTTTAAATAATGGAGAAGCAGAAACACACTGACAGCATTTAGATAAAAGCCACTTGCCACTGGAGAACAATTTCACTGCAAGGCATGGGTTGTCAGATCTGAGACGACTCCTACCTTTGACTCCAATTTGCTCACAACTGGCTACACTTCTGTGTATGGCTTCTCTGTAATTAAATAACACTATCAATTCTTTCTAAAATTCATACCTTGACACTTTGCTGTCTTCATCGAGCACAGAATCAGAGGCTACAGGAAAAATAAAAAGTGAGGCACCCCTTACAATGGGAAAAGATTCTTAAGTTTTAAAGGCAAAATGATGTTAGTGAATCTTTTGCATCTCTGGACCGTTGACAGCTTCTTTGGGAGGCTCTTACTACCACAGACACAACCACCAGCAAGGACACCTTCTGGCAATTTTAGCCACGTTCAAAACTTCATCAGGTTTTCAGGACATCTGTGATGTTAGATTGGGAAAAAACTAAATATATTCAGTGTCTCTAAAATGACTCCTTCCCATTACCCTTTGGGCACATTCAGCTGGAAGGAAATCTGATGCCAAACAGAAAAACTGGATGGATAACAGGCACATGAAAAGGAATAAATGCACTTCAAAACAATCTGGAAAGCAAGTGTAGTGTAACACTGTGAGGACATCTGGGAGTAAATTAGGTCAAGTTCAACACTTACCAAAACCAGAAATAAAACATACAAAGGTACAATAAGGGGATAGGAAAGCCAAACAGCTGCAAACACAGCATTAGTGTTTGTTTTTTAAACTGACCTCCTCAACTCTATTCTGCTATTACTTGTATGTAAGCAATCCAAGCTCTGTAGTTTCTGTCAAAAATGAGTGTGATCCAAATGAGGGGGAATCAGTCTAGGCAGGATCTTTCTTAATAAGAAAGAGTATGCGAATCACTGATCTATACTATTTCCACTCTAAAGCAGTTCACAGAACATCTCATTTGGAATTGTTCTGCTTTAATGGCCGCAAACTTCCATTCATTGTCTTGGCATTCAAAGCCTTGGTGCATATGACATAAAGCAGAAATCCCTGGTAAATGAGACTTAAATAGATAGAGACAGTTAAAAGACTTTGTATTTCCATGAGCCATTTTATCAAAATGCAAACACATGTACACGCAGCAACCTTGACCAATTTTTCTATGTCAGCAGAGATACAGTAGGTGTCTTACTGCAACCACATATCAACTGATTCATAAGAGTCAGAGCAATTTGGTAATGAGATCATCCATCGTCTCAGATGCACCGAAATCCAAGTGAAGGAAATCTGGATCAGACTGGAGATGAGCTAAAAGCCAAAATCAATATATTTTCTAAATTCAATAAATAGTTGGGAATACGACTCATTTACAGGAAACCAAATAGATAGGGCACAGATACATTTAATTTGTCTCTTTCTAAGGGTAACTGTAGCTGTGGCAGTTTATAGGTTAATAAGCAAAGGAGTCCATAGTATTCAGCTGAACAAATAAAATTATTCTTCACTACTGGTTTGCTGAGAGGCCAGATAGTAATGAAGGCTCTGATGGTCTTAAGCTCCATTAAGGAAATACTACTTCAAGGCAGCTGTTCTCCCACAGTGAGTATTATATAGCTCAGTACATAGTAACTATTCCTTTTGGTTAGATTTGGTTTGTAAAATGGTTAAGGCCCAGCAGATACTTGATAATGAAGCAAGTAACATCAGGTACCTGTAGAGAGTGGTGCACTGCCACTGTATGGCTCCAGGAGCAGCCACAGGCTGACTGACTGGCACACTGACATCCTGATTGAGTGGGCTAGTGACACTTGGTCAGACAGCGATAACTTGAATTTTTAGCATTTCTGCTACACATTTTACTCCTCTCTATTTTCTATCATAAGCTAAAATGTCTCTACTATATCATAAATCCATCACACAAAACTCCACGTTTAGCTAAGTTGTGCGTAAGAAACTTTGTGAACCAATGGGAAAAAGGATACACTTCATAATCATAGTAAGGTATCACAGAGTCTGTGATATTTATAGGCAAACCGGTCTATAGAGCTGTGGAGCTTCATGAGCAGTTGGCCTTCAACTATCAGAAATGCAAAATGACTACATTTTCGAAATAAAAATTTAGGAGAGTTCTATGCTACTTTCATTTAGGGTTGCAAAACATTCACATCAAAGTGGACTTCGAAAGAAAACATATGCACTGGTGTTGGTGCTGCCAGTTTCTAGGTTGAGTGTTGTCTGAGAATTAAGGATTTTCTCCCAGCAATGATAAAAAAATTCAGACAAATTGTCACTCAAATATTCACTTTTGAAGACAGAATAACTATGATCATGTGTACTGAGCACTCAGTACATACATATATAAAAAAAGTAAACAAAGGAGCAAATCTTTTTCATGAGCAACTTGGAGTGAACTACCCCCCTCCCCCAGTATTGGTAAAATGGAAAACTGGTGTCTGGAAAAATGTTTCTGGTTTTCCTAATGAAACCAAGAAAATTTCATTGAAATCCAGACATACATTGAAGTGTGAAGACACCTATGCATTAGCAAGCTGGAAGTGTAGGATTATCCTGTGTAGCAAAGAAAAACAAAGAAACGTGAGGCATCCAAATTAAGTATCAGGGGAAATTTAGGGAGTCAGAACATGACTGCCTATGTTAGGATGAAACCTGGAAGAAATGTAACAATACTAAGATGGCTAAACAGCCCTAGGATCTAGAGACCACAGACAGAACTTACCATCTCACCCAGAAGATGTTACAGATTTCTGCAGGTCAAGAGATGTACAGCAGTAAATGAAAAGGTGAAACTACTGTAATGTCATACTTAGACCTCACAGCTCAGTTATCCTTTGCTTTGGGCCAATTCTTCACAACAGCTTAAGTCTGGATTCCAAATCAAATCATTATATTCCCAGAACACATGGGGTTGAGGCAGCTTCTCCAGTTGAGAAATTACGGGGTCAGTTCTGCGCAAACTTCCCATAACTATTCATAACTATGAAGACAAATATATGCACACTAGAGGGAACAGAGCCCTTCATAATTTGTTAAGGGTCATGCTGCAATCTGTCAGCAAATCAAGTACTGTTAAGAAAAGGGGGATTAAGATTGTTCACCTAAATGTATGTGACTTGGCGGAAGCTGGTTTAACAGTTTGCACGTATGTAATGGCTGAAAACACATTTTGGACCTTTATGTGTGTTTAAAAATTCTCACCTGCTTGACTTCAGCTTGTAAGTGCCGGAGCTGTAGGCACTGTTCTAACCTCTTGTGAGTTTGGTCAGCATTAAGCTCCAGCTCATGCTGTTTCTCATGAAGGAATTCCAGCAGTTCTTGAACCTGTGTTGCAAGATCAATGTCTTTTTCACAGATCAGCTCGATGCCTGCAACATGCAGAGAGAAAGATCATTGCACCTATTTGAAATTCCAATTGCTGTATAAATGTAAGCTTCAAAGATTTTTGCCACCTAACACATTGATTTGCAACTCTCTGAGAACTTCTTCCTCACTAAATTTTCTCACATGTAATATTTAGCTTTCCCAGTTTACTATTCTGCATCATTACATTTTTCTGCAGAGTGGTGTTTCTCTGCTGATTATTGCTCATCTCACCCATCAGCATCTGGCTAGTAGGACATGATTAAACTTTCTATGAACATACAATTAAAAAAAAAAAGTCATAAAAACCTCACTTTCTTACAGTAATTAACTTATACTTCAGAAAGGCACGTAGAAAAGAACTTACAAGAGAAAAAAGATGAGGAAGAAAACAGAAAAGTGAAATACAGGAAGTAAACTCTAGTCACCAGAGTGCTACAAGTGCATGCAGCTCCACAGTGACCTTTTTATCCACCTGTGCACTTTAAAGGATCTTTAACAACAATCTAGCTTAAAACCAGCCTATAGTTCTTCCAGAATTATTCCACAGACTGACTTTCATTCAGTCCTCACATACCAGAGAGAAAAAGTGTCTTAGTACCACATTCCCCATCCCTTGCATCCTGCATGAAATGGATAAACGCCTGAATGACCTGGCCTGATTTCATAGCAGACCCTGATTTGATCAGGAGGTTGAAATAGAGACAAGATCTTGAGTCTCTTCCTAGCTCCTGAATTTTCTTACGACCCTATGAGCCTTGCGTGTAGTAGTTACATGAAATACAACGCAGAGCTTCACATCTTCCTTCAGTACTACACTGGTGTGATAGCATTACCAGTGTAATTGTGAAAGTTTGGCCTGGAGGAAATATGATGTCATCCCATGTTACTATAATCCCTGTGATTATAAACTAATAAAGACCTGACTCTTCCCTTATTGAGGTCTACTGGAATTTTGCCGTTGGCCTCAATACAGGGAGGATCAGGAACCTAATATAAAAATAATCAGATCGCAGTAATGCTGAGGAAACAATACACTTCTCTTCAAGGCCATTTGATTTCATGGAATAATAGGATGTTAGAAAAGAAATGTGCCGATTAGAAACTACTGTACAAAAGGTTTGGATGCTGCTTTTAAAACCCATTTAGAAAGATGTCTTTTTGTCCTCCTTTATCCTCCTCAGAGACTTGTGACTTCCATTCTCTCTCACAGTGATATCTATACAGAGGACAGTACACAAAATAAACACGACTTTATGACTGATCCTATTCCCTTTTTCCCAGTTTCTGGTTTTATCAGAAAAAGCACATGCAAATGCAAGTGATTGGCTTATTCCCTTTCCCAGCCAAAACAAAACAGTTTCTTCATTACCAAATAAAGTGGAATGGCCCCTGGCTTCCCATTTAGAACTGGAAATTTAATATATACTTCTATTCTTGGGAGTGAAGTTCCTTTCAATTGCCAGACACAAGGCCTTGTTGCTACAATTAGTCTGCATATGGTTCTGTATCCTCAGGACATGATGGCTTTTTGTATGCTTGGCTTCACCACACCTATTCGATATTAAATGCACAGTTTTCCTTCATGCACACTCAGCTGGTATGGTTTTGATTGCACTAGCTCATCAGCAGCAACCAGTGAACTGCCTGGGATGCTATCCAAGGGCAGCCTGCACTCCCTATGATGAATGATCTGCCCTTTCTTGCTTGTCATATGTCATGCAGATTTATTCTGCAGTGCCAGCGCATGTGGTGAGAGCACTTATTCTTCTCAAAGATTGGTTTGCAAAGTAGAAAGCCTTGTTTTCAGAATAATTCTGTACATATAATCATTGTGTTTTGATAGACAGAAAAGCGCAGCTGATTTTCTGATAAACTGAACTTGGTTGACGTTTTATTCTGTCTCAACCAGAGCAGCAAATATCAAGTGAAGGATAATGAATTGAAAATGTTTTTTAAAAAACCTGACTTCCAGATCTTATGTATCTCCAAATAAAATCAAATATTTCTTTGAAGAATAATTACTCTAATGGTGAAAACAGGGTAATCCAAAGCAGGCTCACCCACATGTGCTAAGAGTAGTGGAAGGAATCACAGGGATGTAACTGAGCTGTATGGAGCTCTGGAAATACTAGACTTGCACAGATGCTCCAGATAATGGCACAGAGTCTCATATAATGCCTCACAGGACCACTGGATTTATTATACCAACATGACAATATTCACAGGGATTTCCAGCCTGGTAAGAATCACTGCTCCAAGCCTGCATGGCACATGCAAAACTCATGGGTGAAATTTTCTACCTGCACAAGATCTCCAAGTGAAAAAGGTATCATGCATGGAAAAACTTGGATGTAATTTTCTCTGACAGACTTACTAGCTTAAAGATCTCCAAGCCAAATGCAAGAGTGATCAAATTGAACCAGCTTCCTGTGTGACATGATGAAAAGAATAAAGCTCAAAGAGAATTACAGAGAAGGGAAGAAACTTGGTCAGTTAAGAGTGGCTGGTTAGGTAGAATGTCCCTGAAAAATCATATTTTTCCTGACTTTTTCTTCTGTGACTATAGCTGAGTTTTGATTGTAGCAGTGGTGCCACTGTACAATAGGAAGCAGCAATAGCAGCTGATTTCCCAGAACCCCTGCAAGTTTGCAGCTCTGGCAGTAAGAACAATCATTCCTTAACTTACGCTCTGAACAACTACGATATAGGATTCAGGAAAAGGAAATAAAATTAAATGAATTTTTTATGAAGTATAACTGTCCTTTATTGTAATAAGAAACAGTAGGCTCCCAAGAGCAATCTCTCTCCCTTATTTTGCCATTTTCCCAGCATTTAGCATTCATGCATGGCAGACATGACCACTACTTTTGATTAACTGCAGCTACTCTACATTCCCATAAGGCTCCTGTGTCCTTTCCTTTGAGAACAATGGGTTTTTATCACGTAGGCTTCATAGAAATTGATCTTAGATAATCTTATAAAAACATTTTAAAAGTAATTTCATTTAGTTGCTAATTTTTTGTCTGCAATCCAAAAGTTGTTGTTTCTAACTTCTTGACAAACACAGATTTCCCCCCACTCCCCTTCCCACCCTAAAAATCAGTCACTAAGACTCCTGGCTATGCTCTGTTCTGGATCATTTTCTTTACCTGCCATGGATCCCTACTGATATTAGGATTCCTCCAGGAGCAGGGGTGGGGGAAGAAAAACCAGGAAGAATCTTATCTGATGTTTTAAGACAAGTTTTCTATCCCAGAAAACAAGGATTTGGAGGAATAGGACCAGGCATAGTGTGGGGAGATCTCAGAGAAGCTTGCACACATGGTTCGCACAATGCACTGGAGTGTCTAGTTCACTACATGCTCTTGTAGCAGTCAGTCCTTAAGCCTCTGTTGAGTGCAGCTTGCCAAATAGGCTGAATACTGCCAGATTTTTTTTAAAGGTGGGTGCCCTAGAGGTAAAATATTTTCCAAAGAATAAAACCATAAAAATCCTTTTTATTTTGAAAGTGAAAATTGGGAGGGAAAGAACAGGAATTGCTCTGGCTTTGCTCTCTTTCCAGACATTTAAGAAGGTTACACAAGTAACATTCACTTATGGACTTTATGCAGTGATTAAACTGAATTATGGTATTCCTTTTCCAAATGCAAAATGCAAGGATACAAAAATACTGATTCATAGGATGTTTTAGAAATAGGATCCTACTACTGAGAAGCAGAGTAAAAGTATCAGACTCCCTATCAACATGAATCATGTCTGTCATTTAAGATCAAATGTCAAGGGTTCTTTATTTACATCCAAGTTGCTACCTTCAACTTTCAAGTACACACAGAAAGGAAAATTCCAGTATGGTTTATCATATTCCCTCTTTATACAAAATAATTCCAATTAGACCTGGCTGGAAACAAGAGTTCCATTTCATGAGTGGTTTCAAGGTTCTCATATTTGGATTCTTCCCCAGAGGGCTCTTGGATAAATAGCTTCTTTCTCCCCTC